TCACTTTATTTAAAAAATAAAGAATGTTAATTCTTCACCTCGATAGATGGAATTTACATCTCGGATACTCGGTTGTTTTGTTAGATAAGAATTTAGCATGCATCCATCATATTCAAAACGAGCGACATTAATTTCCTCGCGCGACACATGCAAGCCGTCGGCGCGCGCAGTAGTAATGGATAACTTTCGTCAGACGCGAAATGGAACCTCTTGTCTCTTTGTCGCAACTAAAGAGGCATGGTTAGGACAGAATGTAGCGGAATGGTAAAGGGCAGGATCGACAACGCGGGAGCGGCGGACTAGGGCAGAAACTACGATGGCAGCGGGACAAGGTTGCACGTAGATCCAGCAACAACTTGGGTTGAAGTCGGCTTAATTAACAGCTCGTGTCACTGCGAATGTTGGCAAGTACATCGTGTCCACGGAACAACGGTCACGTGTGTCAGTGTGGCACAAGCAGCGCAAATTTTGAAAATCACATTGACCCATTTTCTCGGAGTTTTCAGCCAAAAATACGTCGCTTACGATAAGCACGACAGATTAATGACATTTGCAAGACATTCAATTATCCTCGCGCAAGTAACACGAGAAAATACGAGACGAGAGAAGCTAAGAAAACGAGGCCATTGAGTCGAAAAGAATGGCGATCTTATCAGTACGAGTGAGAGAAAAAAAGTCATCTGATCTCGGCCAATCACTTAACTCTATTGTACATGTCCCTACCTTTTAGAGTATAGAGTCGCGTGTCGTTCGCCTACGCCTTTCTGCAAAATCTACTCGGCCGGTGAAATTATCGCGAAACTTTCCCACGCTTCGGTAATGTGTGTATTGTCCGGTCTGATTAATTAATGATTTAATGTTCAGCCGGCGGAGCGAAAAATCGATACACTCGGCGAGTTCATCAGCAATTCCATCTCATGAAACCAGTTGCCTTTCCACCCGCGCGGATGCGTTTCGAATTAAATAATTGCAGCGACAACAGTCTCTTCGACGGTACGCATATGATCGAAGCGCAAATTGAATTTCTGTAATAAAAACTAAAAAAAAAAAAAAAAAAAAAACTTTGGCTCTATTGAATCTCACACGATGCAAACGCGCGCGGTCGCGCACGCCGCGAATTGCTTTCAGCGCAAAACGTTGCCGGGCGAAACGATTAATAATCGCATGCATTATTCTCCGTCATCCCGCAGATTTTCAAACTTTCGATATCATCTCGTATCCGCAATCTGCCGTGTGTGTCGGGCACACGAGGTATAAAATCTGCCGGTCGTGTTGCGTTTGAATTATTAATTAGCACGCACCGATGCTGCATCGTGTATGGTGATGATGGCATATCTATGAGGGAGGCCGGGCTGAGCCGAGCGCGCGCGCGACGACCGACTAAATGGAAATCGTTGATGCATCGCGAGCGATCATAAGGGTGCATTAAAAAACTTTATCTCGCGTCGCGCGCGGCATTAATCGACCGTCTCGCGCATAATGCCGACCGCGCGATAATTGGAGCATAAATTATGGCGGTACAGAGCCCCGCCGTGACGAGGAAAATTCCACGGGCGTCCTGTAATGAATAACGATCAATTTCCGGCGAGACAGCCGAGCGTCACGTCGGACGCTGCGCCGCTGCAAAAGCCGCCCACCCTCTCTTTCTCTCTCTCTCTCGCCCTCTTTCTCCCCCGAGTGTGCCACCCCCTTTAGATCGCGCCGATATCCGAGAGCCATAATCGAGCCGAGGCGGACGGGCTTAATTCGTCGCTAACTCGATACATCGACAAGGCTTGTCAACAAGTCAGGCGGACCGTCATTTAATTACGTAACAAGGCAAACGGGAACGAGGGGCTGCTCTCTTAGCCGTCAGGGCTTACGCGGAAGAAAGAGAGAGAGACGGGAAGTGAAGGGGAAAAGGGGACGAAAGAGGAAGCGGCGGAGATGAAGAACGAGCGGCGAAGATGAAAGAGCAGGAGGCGCGTGGAACAAGAAGTGTCATATGAACGAGGGAATACTACGGTCTGAGATGGCGTATAATCCTTTACAGGAGGAAAGCGAGGCGGATAGTAGCGAAGGATTAATCGCGAAGCGAATTCTGAAGAAGAAACTCCTCTCGAGGATGTATAATTCTCATCTCGCGTCGAGATTAAATACATCGAGTAAATAAGATCTCGGCGTTAGATCAACGTATCTGACGCTAAATACGCGACGGGAGAGAAATACGAATCTACGAAGCTCGCGGAACAAAGAGATTACTTTCGTTAGCCGGAAGCTTTGAGCGGCGCAGACCGTGCGGACGCGGAGAAAAGCGGATCAATCAGCGGAGGTGGCGGGCTCTAAAAGGGTTAGCTCTTAAATACCACCACAGGCAGGCACGCCTAAATCGGTCGAGCGTACAGACGAACACGAAGGGGGAGCGCAGGGGAGCGAGGGGGTATCGCGTTCGTGTGTTACATCACCGAGGGCGCCGTGTTTGCTCTGCCTGCTCCGAGGCTCGCGCCGTCTGAATATTCAACAGCCTTTCCCGCACACGGCACACGACGGAGCGCTTGCATGCGCGCCGTGTACCGCGTGTATAAACAGCGCCCGACAACCGCCTGGCACTTTAGCGCCGGCCGTTGCGTCTTAATGTGGGTCACGAGAGGGAGGGAGGGGGAGGAGGGTCGGACTGGGAAGAAGGAAATTGAGCCGCGCGCTGAAATCAAGGCTAACACTGCCATTTCGCACTGTCGCCGCGTTGAAATAAATTGCAGTCGCGTCGGTTCGAAGTCGTCGGATTAATTTATTCATCTCTATTTCAGTCGCGCGCGATGTATTTATCTACATGGATTTATGTGTGCGAATTATCAGAATATATTGCACATAACCACATACACACCAAGAGAGTCAGTCATTCTTCATATCCTTTATCCGAAGAGGCAATTACAAAAGAGACTATTATCGACGAAGAATATCTAATTTCTCGATAGATCTCTATTCACTGGAAAATCTATTTACCGGGAAATCTACTAAATTAGTTCTAGCGTGAATGAAAAGCCTCTATTTCGTCATGAATAAGAACCCTGGAGAACTTGGCGCTTAATGCCAGAGTTTGCATCTAATTTACTGCGCGCTAAATTGAAAGGAAAAAATAGCTGCGACACGGAGAAGGAATCCGTCCAAAGGCGCGGTTTTACACGAGTCGGGGATGAAGTGGACCCGAAGGGTCGTCATAAAAATGCCGTGTGCGTGCGAGAAGTTCGTCCGGATTGCACGTCACGGATGCGAGAGCGCATCCCCCGCGCGCGCGCTCGCCATGGCTTTCCGCAACAAGCGCGCCGGCGCGGCCGCCGGAAAGTGGGTCAGCGTCGTTAGCGTTCGATGGCGCCATTTCGACTCGTTCCGACCGCGGGCAAAAGGGACGTAAAGGGAGGCAGACACGCGGGGGGGCAGAATAGGGCGGGTTAGCACGAATTTTGCGGCCTCGCGCTACGGTTTTCGAGCACACCCCCGTGGTCATCGATCGTGGTCGTCTAACTCGATCGGCCGCTAACGAACCGTCGCCTCGTTCTTCCCCGTGAAAATGCTCTTTGTCGCTGCGTGCTCCCGAGGGGAAGCTAACTGTTAAAACGAAGCACAGCGGGATTAAAAAAAAAAAAAACTCGCCGGAGAGCTTTTAAACAAAACATCATTGCAGCCTCTGCGCTACATCCCGACTCTATGCTTTATATTTTACGTGTCGGACTGTAACAAGCAGCTATAAAATTTCGATGCACAAATAATTAAAAAAACGGCGCAGTTATCAGTTTGTGCCAGGACCAACTTCCAATTCGCACGTAGCCGAGTACTTTGTTTCAGCGAACTTTTAATCACAATTGACAGAGACAATTACCTAATGTCAGTCTACAGCGGCAGCGCACAATGCACGCTTCCGTTATTTCCGCGAGTGATTTCAGATTTAATTAAAATGCACTGGCGAAAAAAAAGACGCGCCCGTCAAAAACGCAGCTGCATTATGCACGTAATTCAAATAAGCTACGTGTACGTACATAAGGAAATATTTAAAAATAATGTTTCCGGCATGTGGCAGTATAATTAAGGCTATTTGAGTAATTTTATTAAGGCGAAATAAGCTGCGCTACGTAGAATAATTACTGATAATGGACCACAATTTTTTTCTACCGAGTTAGAGAGCCCATTTAGTGTTGAAAATTGCGCATGTTTTTCCTTAAATATTCTACGCAATTATTAAACAATATTCATCGTTCATCTTGTTGAAGAGAATATACGATAATTTTGCTATAAAATGCTTAACGCTGTCACAGCTAGATATTTTGATTGATAATAATTGTACGAACGTTTTCAATGTGTATATGAGCAATCGTACTATTGCCGTGCGAAAGCCAATTTGAATGAAATTCGAATGACAGTCTACTCCACAATGCTCACCTGTTACGAATCACATAACGGATGTCAATATTGCTCCATCAAAATTATTAATGTTTCTGAACACCTACGTTTGAAGCGTTGCAAATAATATTAATTCGAACCATCAAAAGCAGCCTTTCGAAGGCAAGAAATTAAAAATGTGAAGAATTTTATAATTCTCATAAATAGCTTGCACTAATCTGCTTTCCGCAATATTTTATGTGAAACAATTATTTTTATTTGACAACAGCCATAAAAATAGATACAAAGAACTCTCTTATGAAAGCAACTATCGATTCAGCATTGTTATATATTTCTGGAACTTACGTCACTCCCAGAATTTCATTCTTTTCTAATATATGAGGGTGCGTCAAACGTTTCGGAAAGTATACAGCTGGGTAATTTCTCGAATAAAAGATTATTTTTCTTTGAGAAAAACTAACTAAAACACTAGAATAGATAGATAGAAAACCGTAATAAATGGGCTATATTAAAGAATATTTTTTAACAAATATATATATTTTTAAAAACAATTTTCCGAAAATTTTTCGAGTTATCCCGCGGTATAATTTAACTTGTCGTTCATATTATTCTTGATCTCGACTCACCTGACACTGCTGTGGTCCCTGCCTGTTCGGCGAGGAGGGCTTCGGTCTCGGTTTCTTCACTCCCAGTTTCCCAGGATCACCGGCACCGGCTCTCGACTCCTCGCTGCTACCTGCAATCAGAGAAACAGAACCCGTCAATTGTCGTAACACCTTGACGTTCGTGAGACAAATCGATGTTGCCCGACTCGCCGTGAATTGCCGACGAGCAGCGGAGTCGTTTTCTCCGACGGCAGACTGCTCCAAGCGTCTCTTCTATCGTCGAGGACTGACAACTTTTTGCCACGACGACGCCCAAGATTCGGTCGTCGTGCAACGTCACCCCCTTCCCTCCCACCTGCCCCTTTCACGTCGCTCCTGTTTTCCTCCCGCATTCGCGACGAGACGCGAGGTAGCGTCTACAAGACTTCGACGTATAGAAGATTGATTGCCTAACATGTTCTTTTTGCGTGCGACCTAGGATATACTTAATGGTCGATTGGCTTGGTCGTCAACATCGATCGAGGACCGACTGCGTCGTTGTGGAAAGAAGGATCGAGATGGCTTCTCGCCAAGGATCACGCGGGCTTCCTTAACAAGAGGCACTTCTGTTTTGCGAGCAATTATTTTTGAATGGTATCAGACAGCGTACGGACTCTTAGCAAGCATTAAAAACCCGAGAAAAATCAATTATATAATATCATATATTATTCAATTTCGCTCGAGTACTCGATGAAAAGAAATCAACAAAACTTTGAGAAAATGGAATGGCTTATGAAAAATTGGACATAATAACAAAATATTTAATTTGTCATTAAATATAGTATTTTAAGCTTGCAAAACACAAAAATACATTTACAAAATATATGAAATAAACATTACCATTAAATTGTTACTGTATTCTAACAAAGCTTGACTGAAGAATTGCAATTACGTTAAAAAGTTTAAAAACAGAGCGAACTAATTTCTCAATTAATCAATCACGTCATCATTAGTTATAGCAAAAAGTCGATTAAAGATAGAAGTTTGAAAGATGACAAAAGACATTTTAACATTTCCAAATGACATTATTAATCAACTTATAATTCTACGATCAAAAATTGTTTCCGATATGGCCCTCGGCTGTAAGAAACAACATCCATCCGCAGTTTACCTTTGCAACGTCGGGAATGCTTGTACGTCTCCACGGATCTCCGTTACCGACGTGCAACACCTGCGATCATCGTTCCCCTCGCCGCGCTCCGCTTCCTTGCGAGGCAGCTAATTAATTATTGTTTCCAGAGCAGCCGCTGTGCCGCAGCGGCCCTGGAAACTCCCGGCGCGCTATTTGCACAGCGCGGACTGGAGGAAAGATGGACTCGCTTAGTATGAAATTATGACTCTCGGACACAGTGCGCGAAAGGGATGGACGTCGACGAGCGATTTTTCCCAACGCAATTTTCGTACGTCGAGGGAAATCAACTACGAGTGCATCTAAGCAATGTCTCTCTCTCTCCTCTCTCTCTCTTGCACGCGCGCGAATGATTATATTGCGTTATATTTCATGTAAAAATAATTACGGAGGAATACATAAATACAGAAGGTGCACATACAGATAAATCAAAATCCGTATAAATTTTTATTCTTCGTCCACACACAATTAAAGTTTGATTCGAGATTTTAAAAGGAAAATAGCAGTAACATATTTCCTTCTTTTTTAATAAACTTTTCTTGATTTTATAAAAATAAATAGAGACGAATAAACAGAAAAGTCTGTAAAAATAACGAAGTTATTTTAAATCGTATTTATACTTCGTCGATATCATACCGATTATTGAACTCGCGCTGCACTCCTTCCGGATAAACAGAATTTATCCATCTCACTGATGATAAAAGGAAGTTCCCGTGTTGAAAACCGGCTTGTGTACACCGAGCCGCTTTACGCGGACGCTCCTCGCTCGCGAATTTCGCAGCGTCGCGTCGTACTTCGGAAATCAGCAGGCTGCGAGTAAACAAGTCTCTTTTCATCAGCTTCGACGGACGCGGCCGTATTTACCGGAAACTCATATAGTTGTCGACTACGCGCGCAAACATCGAAGATGTACGCTTATACGCCGAACTCTAATAATTTTGTCTTCGAATCCGAAGCGAGAGACTATAACGACGATGTTGCGTCGCGATGTCTCGCTTACAGTGTTTGCTGTTAGTAGATCCTTCCCTCTTTTTCTCCTCCTCATCTTTCTCTCGCTCGGTGGCCGCAATTTAATAAATCAGCGAGCCTGTCTTCGATGGGCCGGCAACGCGCACTCAGTCGAGTTTGATAAACGGCGGCTCCTCTCACGGCCGAATAATTCGCCGATCTCGATACGCGGGTCTCATCCGAATTCGACCGCGCCGCGGAATTTCGAGCTTCGTGACCGCGATTACGTCCGATAAATTCTTCATCGATTTCGCGGGGAGGATCGAGCCAGCGAGCAAGCGAGCGAGCGAGCGAGAGAGCGAGTTGGCGAACCAGCCGAATAAAGCGAGTGGAAGTTTGTTATCAGCAAAATCGCACGTGCCCGCAGATAGCATCGCTCTAAATCATTGTAGCTGGGCTAGTCCGCGCTTTCTCTTTTATGTGGATTTTCTGCAACGTGGACTGTAACCACAATGCGATCAATCAAATCCGTCAGAAAATCGTGACTCACGCTCAACCGAGAATTGGCGTTCCATCAGAACAGCGCGCGTTCACAATGGTATCAAAAGATTAGATTGAAATGGTAATACGACGCATATTCCGGTTACAAAAAATCTTTTGTAATAAAATACTTTCCAGATAAATATAAAATATTGCAAAATGGGACAAGTGAATTCGTTATAAAATATAATCTGGTACAAATGTGTCAATTTTTCGCCGACTGTAATCGTTGTTGCCGGTACGAATTTCGCACGATATTATTCAATTACGATATATACTACAACAGTTAGCCCGACGTATGCAGGCGCTCATTGTGAACGCAAGGTGCGATTCCGCAACCTGGGATCCCACAGCTAGGGATGCGTTGT